ATCGCCTTCCTAACTGGTGCCGACCTTTTGCTCATGACCAAAAGCAGCAGTGCCTGCATCACTGCCTATGCCCAGGGCGCTGCTACCAACAAAGCCAATTCCTCCCTTTCAGCGTCCCCAATAACCCAGCATCTCCCTGCTACTGAGGTCACCCATGGAATTGGTGTTGCCCGATATTACATTGGCATTGCCCCACCTAGTTTCCAAATGATAAGGACGCAATGGCGTCGCTCTCCACTCTGACAGTGCTACTGCTCACCATTCCTCCATATCCCACGCTATGGGTCTAGCCATTCACAACATCGCCATCAGCACTAGGGACGTCTCCCTTAATGCCTTTTCTAACTACATCTGCAATGGCTCATTCTATGCTGCCGATCGGCCCTCCGATTGCCTAAGATAGACGAGTTCTATGGCATTATCCTTAAGGTTCACCATGGATTTCCATGGCTTTGAGGAGAGATGTTTTAGGAAAATCTTTAATGTCCTGAAAGAATGGAGCCTAGGTGAGAGGAGGTTTTTAAATTCAACAGAGGTCAAGCATAAAAAGCAATCGATATTGCAAAATTGATACAAGATGGGGAAGGAATTTTTGCAAACATAAATAGAGAACTGAAGAAGTTACAACCGTGAAGAACAAAAAACCTTTTTTCTTTCTAAATGAAGGGGCTCACTCGTGCCCTCAATCTCTTGCCATCACAAGGACTTAGGGCATGGGGGCCAAATGATGAGCCCAAATCCAACTAGGTTAAGCCCAATTAATGAGGTGAGCCCAAAACAGCTACAAGGCAGGCCAAGTCCAGCTCGTGAGTTCGGCCCAGTCCAAAGTCTAAAGGAGTCCACGAAGATTAGAGCACGTGGAGAGTAATCATCGGGATACTCACTCTCGAAGATCAAGGTTATCTTAATTGTACTTATCTTTTGTAGCTATCCCCTGAGAAACTAGTGCTTTTACCCTCACGTCACCACCTCACCTAAGGGCTTCAAACTTGTAAATTGTAAGCTCGCTCCATTGAGAGAGGCATCTCAACACCTTTCTATACACCCCTCACATAGTTTTTTTGTCTCCTAGCTATTAGACCTCTCCCGGAGTTCTCTCTCCCTTACCTTATTTATTAATAAAGGCTCTCCGGCCATCGTTGCCGTTTTTGGAGTGGAATAGGTCATTCGGACCGAACCACTAAATATCTGTATGTTGACCTGATATTTAATTTTTTGCCATTAATTGTCTATTACTTACACTATATTGTACACTCGACTATTGACCGCGCGTAAGCCCATTTTGTGTATCATCAGTTTAAATAAGATAGTATTGTTGAATAGATAAAACTCTAGAAGATCAAAGGAAGGGACAACAAACAAAGAAAAAAAAAGTTAGAGGGGGAGAGAGAGAAAGAAGAAAAAAAAGAAAAAGAAAAAGGGAGAGTTGGATCCATTGAAGGTAAATGGATGCATTACTTATTTGACAAATAATTTTTGAAGATATTAAGTTGAATTTTGGTGTATAGTTATTTGAAATTTGATTAAGTTTAATAGGTTAAAAAAGGAAAAAAAATGAGATTGAGTGGTTAAAGTTGCAGGAGACTTCTCGTAGGTTAAAGAAGATAGCAAATCTAAAATTATGGAAACCTCCCCTTTAGTTTCAAAGGGCTTTATTTTGAACTCTTTATTCTTCTAAATTTAATTTTAACTACCGTTTTACTTGGTAAGTTAGAAGAATAGAATTCTGAAAAATTTATGGAAGTCTCGAAAACAGAAAATTCATTTTTCAAAGAAATTACACTTTGACCCCAAAAGTTTTAAAAAATTTGATTTCACCCCAAAACTTTAGAAATTTTTTATAAACTGTCCAAATTACTTATATCCTATTCGCTCACATTAAAAATGTTATTTCTACGTAAAGGATATATAAAATATATATCAATGGATAGGAAGTACGTAAATTAAATATAGAATCGCGAAATAACAAAGTTAGGAATAGGAATTGATTGTTATATACTTTTTTGGATTAGGTGGTGATTGCACCGAGGTTGAGAAGGAGGGATTTGAATTGGATTTTGGGAATCAAGGTGAGTAGTTTACTACTTCTTTTGAGAGGATTTTCTATATTAAATGTGCAGGAGCGTGCGAGTGAATTTTTCATATATATGATATATGTGTTGATATTTAGGGTTGAAATTAAATATTTTGTAATTGTGAACTGTTATACATGTGAATTTTGAAAATTTTGTGGGATGATTTTATATTATTGCTTTGATGATGAAAGAAAAATTTTGTGTGCGTTGGGACTAAAACGACAATTTTGGTATATGTGAAAATCATGTTTTATGAGACGGGAACTGAGTTACTAGGTCTAAATGGTAACGAGATTGTATACCGATGTGATCAATATAGGGATGTGCACATAGGGGTAAGTCATCAGGCAAGTGATGACAAAAGATGGGGCCAGTTACCAGGCTAGTGGTAACAAACATAATTTGACAAATGTATTTGAGATTAAATGTGTGTGTGAATATTTTGGGTTATAAATGTCTTTTCATTTATAAAATTATTTATAAAAATGAGTAGGTGTTTTGAGTTATAAATGTATTTTCATTTATAAAGTTATTTGTGATCATGAGATNTTACCCAGTTGGATGTTCTTAAAAAGTACCATCAGCCCAGTGAAAATTAGCATTCAGAGCACGACATAACAAAATCAACAACTAAGAGTCAAAATCCTTACAGATACTGTGTATTTAATAGACCCTCAAAGTCGTTTGGAATTTGTCCACTTAGTTTGTTAAAGCTGAGGTCTCTGCAAGACAAACACAAATGAATATGTAATAAGATCACTAGGAATCCTCTTTGTTACCATACCATTTCATTTGAATTTGGAAAATTTGAAACCCGAGTATCAGCATCACATGAATGTCAAAGTCAAATATAAGAGTGATTACGAAATTCTNAATCCTCTTTGTTACCATACCATTTCATTTGAATTTGGAAAATTTGAAACCCGAGTATCAGCATCACATGAATGTCAAAGTCAAATATAAGAGTGATTACAAAATTCTATTAGTTCCCAGTTCTTCATGCTAAGCATTTTTGTGGTCATCTTTGGACGTTCACAGCTCATCTATTGCCTGGGATTGTATGTGCAAATGGAGCCGTGTAATTGTCTTTCAATAAATATTTAATTCCCATATAATTCAATTGCTTATGAAACTAAATGCCCTAGCTTGATTCAACATGAATTGTCTAGTGGTGCAATTTGGACGGTCTAACCCAATTTCAACCCGAGTCCAATCTAAAAAAAGTTAGAGTTTGAGTTAAAAATTTTTAATACTTAGATTGTGCCTAAGCCAAAAACCCTTAACCTGAATTGAATTTGGGTGGACCTTGGGTTTATGGGTTGAACCCGAATATTAAATCGGGTTCAACCCGGATATTCATAAATATAAATATATCCTTCAGTCTACTATGGTTAACCTTCAGTCTTCAACCCAAATATTCGTGTGCCTCCCTCACTCTCAGATTTATTTCTCACTCTCACTGTCAGATCTATCTCTCACTCTCTCACCTGTAGATCTCTCAGATCTCCCCTACGCCTCCTCCCTCTCTCAGCCTCTTTCGTCTAAGTCATCTCAGAGTCTCAGCTTCCCTCCCTCCCTCAATCGTCACTCATTTCTCTCTCTGCCTCCCTTTATCACTCACTTTCCCTTCATCTGCGAGATCTACGCTTGAAGGGAAATTTTAGGTCAGATCTCATCTCAGATNGTACACAAAACTAGGATCTGGCATTAGCATGACTAAGTCATTTTACCACTAAAATAGCATCAGTTTGTGACTACCAAAAGAGTGGTAATCCTAAAGTTCCAATGATGCACTAATTCAAGCATTTTCTAGAAGTTACTCAATTTATGCAATGTCAGAGACATACACCCATTGAACTGGAATCCAAGGCTACTCAACAAACAAAAAAAGACAAATATGATGCACTAATTCAAGCATTTCTAACAAATTACCGTATGCAACTTTCAGAAATATATAGACATTAAACTCAAATCCAATAAATCTTTGAAATGGAAATCCCCTATTTTTGACGAAAAGCAATCAACAGTGCATCAAAAGAAAGATTGTGTTTCTGCTTCACAAAACTTAGATGAACTGATTCCCAGATATTTTGTTGAGGAAAACAAGAAGAGAACTAAATATTAATCTTACATGTAAACTGTATTTCTCATACAGGTATTAAGTTAGTTTCCCCAGTTGTCCAAAAGGAAAAAAGAGTTGGTTCCCCCAATCCCCTTGCCCAGGGCTTAGCAAGGAAAAAAAATGTTTTACACCTCTCTACTAGAAGTGAGTAGGTCATCTATATGGGAGACCTACAAGGTGCCTACTTCCCATTTTTTGTTTGAGCATTCAGGGCACGGCATAACAAAATCAAAAATTAAGAGTCAAAATCCTTACAGAGTCTTTGTTTTTGATAGACCATTAAAGTCTTCTGTAATTTGTCCACTTAGTTTGTTAAAGCTGAGGTCTCTGCAAGATAAAACACAAATGAATATGTAATAAGATCACTATTGCAAAAGAATCCTCTTTGTTACCATACCATTTCATCTGAATTTGGAAAATTTGAAACCTGAGTATCAGCATCACATAAATGTCAAAGTCAAATATAAGAGTGATTATGAAGTTCTATTAGTTCCCAGTTTTTATGCTAAGCATTTTTGTGGTCACCTTTGGACGTTCACAGCTCAACTGTTGCCTGGGATTGTATGTGCAAATGGAGCGGTGTAATTGTCTTTCAATAAATATTTAATACCCACATAATTCAATTGCTTATGAAACTAAATGTCCTAGTATGGTTCAACATGAATTGTCATCAATCACAGAAAGATGCATGCTTGCAAACAAACACGTGAAGTTGATGCCTCGCCAATTTCCAGATATTTAAACTACAAAGTCAATACTCTATCTTTTTAGCAGCAAATTGTTTAGTTTCTGACAGCACAAAACTATGAACTTCCAGGGGCAAACAAGGTCGCATACAAGAGGTGCTTGCAAGCACCAATGGTGCTCCCACTAACGAAAAGCCCAAAGGAAAAAAAGTGGGGCAAATAAAGCTGCAGGCTGATTGGCATATTTCAACTTGGAGCCGTGACTTCTTTTCACATTATTATGTGTATGAAAATAATGGTATGTAAAATATCACCATCCCATAGTCTATGGGACAAAAGTATGCATTTCGACTTTTCCTCCCCAATCTGATATTATGGTGCCAGTATAAAATTCCATTATGATCCAATATTGATTAATCACAATAACATAACACGGCAGGCTAAATCTACTCACAAAACTTCTTTCAAGTTTGGCAGTGTCGCAAGATAAGGAGGTAACTGTCCCACAATGTTGCAACTCCTCAGTATCCTGGATAATCGAGTTTACACGAGTCACCAAGAAGGCAATAATATTTCTCAACCGATAGAGCAATGTTAAAGCATTCAACTCACAGTGTCTTGAGATATGTCATATTACTAAGGGTTGGAAAGCTTGATTCAGTTCTAGTTAAGTCACTGATTCTCCTGTATATTTGAACAAGCATAAACCACTATTCAGTCATAGCAAATGGATACAAGCAATAAGCTTAGAAGTTTTTACTCACAAGTCAGTCATTTTTGTCAGAAGCGCAATGCCATGAGGAAATGGCCCATCCAGGCCGCTTGCTTGAATCACTCTACCATTACAAAGTTTTGAGTTTAGTATAATACTGATACAGAACTTATGAAATAGAAGGATAACTGAAATATCAAATGAACGTCAAAGCCTCACAATTTTTCAAGATTTGTCCANTATTTTGTGGTAATAGTGGCAATAGTGGACTAGTGGCAATGGCTATGGCTGTGTCACTAGGCAGTGGGCAGTGACTGTGTCATTTGGTTTAATTTTCTTGTTTTGTGTTATGTTTATGTTTGTGTTAAATTACTATTATAATTTATGTGTTTATGTTAAACATTAACTTTTGGTTGTGTTTTTGTTTGGATCTGTTAAACATTAAATTACTATTTGTGTTTTGTATGGTTGTGATTGCATTATCTCAAACATTGAGTTCTTAATATTATGATTTTTANCGTTCCCGTGAAGCGGTTATCACCAATCCGACTGCATTTGTGGTAATCATGAGTAATTGAATAATTGAAAACTGAATCATAGGAATTAGAACCCCCAAAAAAAGATGACAGAAACTTATGGCACTTACAAGTCCTTCAGTGTGGTCAACTTTGCAAGTGTTCCAGGCAACTCCCCAGAAAAATTGTTTGAAGTTAGATGTCTTCAACAAGAAATTGATCAAAATTAATCCATTGATCAATTGACAATCATCACCANTGGGGCTCAACCCGAACTCAATCCGAATTAAACTTGTAAAGTAATCCCAAATCATTAACTCGAATTCAACCCGAGCTCGCCCGAATTAAACTCGAGCAGTACTTGGGTTGAGTTCTTCAGATTAAGGTAAGGTTAGGATTACGGTTAGAGTTGAAGATTATATATATAGGGTTGGGTTAGGGTTGACTGTCCAACCCGCCGAGTTGCACCCCTAGAATTGTCATCAATCACGGAAAGATGCATGCACACNAAGTGATTCTGTGAATATACAAAATCGGAACTATTGACTCATTTTACAGATAAAAGGGTCTTACAATTTCTCCNCAGAAAGATGCATGCACACACTTGCAAACAGACACGTGAAGTGATGCCTAACCAATTTTCAGATATTTAAACTACAACGTCAATACTCTTAGCTTTTTAGCAGCAAATTGATCAATTTCTGACAACACAAAACTATGAACTTCCAAGGGCAAACAAGGTCGCATACTCTTAGCTTTTTAGTAGCAAATTGATCATTTTCTGACAACACAAAACTATGAACTTCCAAGGGCAAAACAAGGTCGCATACAAGAGGTGCTTGCAAGCACCAATGGTGCTCCCACTAACGAAAAGCCCAAAGGAAAAAAAGTGGGGCAAGCCGTGACTTCTTTTCACATTATTATGTGTATGAAAATAATGGTATGTAAAATATCACCATCTCATAGTGTTTGGGATAAATGTTTGCATTTCGACTTTTCCTCCCCAATCTGATATTATGGTGCTCATATAAAATTTCATTATGGTCCAATTCTGATTAATCACAATAACATAATACGGCAAGCTAAATCTACTCACAAAACTTTCAAGTTTGTCAGTCTCCCAAGATAAGGAGGTAACTGTCCCACAATGTTGCAACTCCTCAGTATCCTGGATAATCGAGTTTACATGAGTCATCAAGAAGGGAATAATATTTCTCAACCGATAGAGCAATGTTAAAGCATTCAACTCACAGTGTCTTGAGACCCCTCATATTACGAACGGGTGGAAAGCTTGATTCGGTTCCACTTAAGTCACTGATTCTCCTGTATATTTTAACAAACATAAACCACTATTCAGTCATAGCAAATGGATACAAGCAATAAGCTTACAAGTTTTTACTCACATGTCAGTCATTTTTGTCAAAAGAGCAATGCTAGAAGGAAATGGCCCATCCAGGCCGCTTGCTTGAATCACTCTACCATTACAAAGTTTTTGAGTTTAGTATAATACTGATACAGAACTTATGAAATTGAAGGATAACTGAAATATCAAATGAACGTCAAAGCCTCACAATTTTTCAAGATTTGTCCAATTCTCAATGAAACTGGGTATCGTTCCCGTGAAGCGGTTATCACCAATCCGACTGCATTTGTGGTAATCATGAGTAATTGAATAATTGAAAACTGAATCATAGGAATTAGAACCCCCAAAAAAAGATGACAGAAACTTATGGCACTTACAAGTCCTTCAGTGTGGTCAACTTTGCAAGTGTTCCAGGCAACTCCCCAGAAAAATTGTTTGAAGTTAGATGTCTTCAACAAGAAATTGATCAAAATTAATCCATTGATCAATTGACAATCATCACCCAAAAAAAAAAAATGTTTGAAGAACATCTCAACTAAAATAAATTACACATGCAATAAAATCATTAAGTGATTCTGTGAATATACAAAATCGAAACTATTGACTCATTTTACAGATAAAAGGGTCTTACAATTTCTCCAGGCGATTAAGATTCCCAAGCTCTGGAGGAATAACTCCACTCAACTGATTGAATTCGAGGCTTCTATGTACATCAAAAATCAATATTCCAATATTAGCAAGAAAATCATCTGGGCTATTCACAAAATTAAATGGGAACGAAAAAGATAAGTCAGAGTTTTACACAGTTCCGAGTGTGCTTATATTTCCAAACTCCTTTGGGATTGGACCAGTTAATCGATTTCCAAGAAGGGAGCTGCAGTAACACTGTTCCATTAGTGCTAAGAGTAAGAAAACGTCCGTGTGTGTGTGTGTGTGAGAGAGAGAGAGAGAGATTGGTACGTACATGTTCACTAGTTTCATGGAACCCCATTCTGGAGGGATAGTACCGTTAAGGTAGTTGCGGGTTAAGTCGCTATATGAACGAGAGAGAGAGAGAGAGAGAGAGAGGGGGAAATTGAGTCACAGCATCAACAGCAAGATCACATAGAGCGGGAGTGAAGCGAAAGCACAAAAGCGTAAGCATTAAAAAAAATAAATCCAGGGCAGGAGCATTTTGAAAGCGTTAAATATACGATATAATATAAATAATTTTGGAAGAAATTTCGATGGCCGTTGAATAAATCTATTTGAGACCGTCAGATAATTTATTGAAATCTGTTATATTTTATACTATAGATATATACTCTCACATTCATCTATTAAATTTTAATATAAAAAAATTAAAATTTTATACACAACTAGGAGACAAGCTATTTAATTTTTAAATATATGTTGATTATAAATTTTTAAAATGGTAATTTTAATTTATAAAATATTATTTTAGTTTGACATGTATCTTTAGGTCTAAGTCCATACTTTTTAAATAAAAAATCAAGTAATAATAAGTAAGTAAAAATACAAATTACTCGAATTCATGAATTAAAATTTTAAATTTACAAATTTTGTAAAATGAGAACGTAAATTCATGCAAAATTAACTCTTGGAGCGTGAATTTAAGTGAGAACGCCATAAATTCAAAAAGATTATGTCACTAAGGCCAAAAGGTTAAAATAACTAAATCAATAATATGGGGTGATTTAAAATCCTAACAATTTAAAATTTTATCAAATTCCTTAAAATTTCAATAATTTTTAGTGAAAATTGAAGGTGAGTCCCTCTAGATATACTTATAATGACTTAAATTTTGGAAGGAAACTTACTTAAAAATAAGTTCATGTTTAAACTTATATGTAAGTACTTAAGTCCACTTATTTTTTAAATCTCAATATTACCCCCTAATGGTGTTATTTTTGTTCAGTTATGGAAAGTCATGCAGATTAGATTATTGAGGTATATATGAAAACTCTTGGTTGAGTTATATATGAAAACCATTTATTAATATTATGATAATTAACAAAAATTTTATATGAAAGTTATATATTTTAATAGTTATATATGGAAGTCTGATGCACGAATAAATCGTTGGTCTATTAAGTCAAAATCAGATCATAAAATTTCCTTAAGAATTCAAAATTTCCTTAGTATTAGTGTTACTATAGTGACACGAATGAGATTGTTTTCTTTAAAATACTCAATACCCAAATTGAAAAATTCCACCATTTCAAATTGTAACACAAACTCAACCCTAATTTNCTTACAATTTCTCCAGGCGATTAAGATTCCCAAGCTCTGGAGGAATTTCTCCACTCAACTGATTGAATTCGAGGCTTCTATGTACATCAAAAATCAATATTCCAATATTAGCAAGAAAATCATCTGGGCTANTAAGAGGGGTTGGGGTACAGTTTGTTATACTTATGTATGTATCAAAGTTTATTTTCGGTATATAAACTGTGGTACTTATTTTCACACCTCATTAGAGGTAGTTGCTATTCACGGGTCATTGTGCTCATACAAACATTTAACATTTTTGAGGTGAGAATCAGGATGAGGAGTAAGTCTACAGACAAACAAGGGATTAGAAGACTTGAAGATTTATTTTACTGTAGGTCTTCAGAAATAAATGTCTTTTATATTTTTGAGATAAATAATTAATTATTTCGGGAATAATGTTACTTATGTTTAGAGTAGTGAACTTTATGGTTTGATTAATGTTTTACATGAGTTTAATAATAATATTGGGGACGTATAGTTTATTTCTCAGGTATTCATTAGGTCAATGGATTGGATCACTTTATTATTTGTCTTTCGCTGCAATTTGCATTTATTATACATATGGTTGGTTGGTTGGTTGGTTAAGGCCTTGGTGGTCGGTCCGCCGCCCACCCTATGTGATCCGGGGTGGGGGTGTGACATCATGTCAGACCATCAAGTTCCAGATTTGAAACTTTGTGGAAATTTCTGCCACACCGAGTCCTGCTGATTTCCACAAACTTGCAATACTCAATATCCAAAATAGGTAATACCATAAGATTGGCTAAACAGTAAAATTATTGTTTGCAACTCCTAATGACATATCTTGATTATATCAGCTGATTATTAGATAATAATCACCGTATGGTTGTTCACGTGGAGATAATGAATGGACATGACTGTGTCTCAACAATAACTTTACAGACCAAAGTATAGCAGATGGTTTGGTATGAAACCCATTCGAACATTGGGTAACCATAATTTATTTAGTTACCCAGGGAAGCAAGCCGAAAGTAAATCTGGTGAAAAAACTCAAAGATATAGAAGTATGAGAAATGTACCTGTTAGAAGTTGCAGAAAGTTCTTTTATAACTTTTTTTTTTTTGGAGGGGGCAGGGAGTTTGAGAGTCACCTGGTGAATTATGTATTCAACAAAGCCAGAACCAACCTAAAGGCACTAATGACAAAGATATATGATTCGCCAATTGAGGGATATGACCAACAAACATTACAGTGCATTTTCTGTTGACACTAATTATGCTTTTGCATAATGGAAGAGAAACTTACACGTTCCTTTTTCCAGTCAGCATCCACTCAGGCACAGGTCCAGATAGCAAGTTTCCAGTTAAATACCTTCACAAAATTGATATCAAGAATTAGTATGATTTAATAATTTTAGCTCTAAAGTAGCAATGTAGAGTTTCCATTTAAACAAGTACACAAAACTAGGATCTGGCATTAGCATGACTAAGTCATTTTACCACTAAAATAGCATCAGTTTGTGACTACCAAAAGAGTGGTAATCCTAAAGTTCCAATGATGCACTAATTCAAGCATTTTCTAGAAGTTACTCAATTTATGCAATGTCAGAGACATACACCCATTGAACTGGAATCCAAGGCTACTCAACAAACAAAAAAAGACAAATATGATGCACTAATTCAAGCATTTCTAACAAATTACCGTATGCAACTTTCAGAAATATATAGACATTAAACTCAAATCCAATAAATCTTTGAAATGGAAATCCCCTATTTTTGACGAAAAGCAATCAACAGTGCATCAAAAGAAAGATTGTGTTTCTGCTTCACAAAACTTAGATGAACTGATTCCCAGATATTTTGTTGAGGAAAACAAGAAGAGAACTAAATATTAATCTTACATGTAAACTGTATTTCTCATACAGGTATTAAGTTAGTTTCCCCAGTTGTCCAAAAGGAAAAAAGAGTTGGTTCCCCCAATCCCCTTGCCCAGGGCTTAGCAAGGAAAAAAAATGTTTTACACCTCTCTACTAGAAGTGAGTAGGTCATCTATATGGGAGACCTACAAGGTGCCTACTTCCCATTTTTTGTTTGAGCATTCAGGGCACGGCATAACAAAATCAAAAATTAAGAGTCAAAATCCTTACAGAGTCTTTGTTTTTGATAGACCATTAAAGTCTTCTGTAATTTGTCCACTTAGTTTGTTAAAGCTGAGGTCTCTGCAAGATAAAACACAAATGAATATGTAATAAGATCACTATTGCAAAAGAATCCTCTTTGTTACCATACCATTTCATCTGAATTTGGAAAATTTGAAACCTGAGTATCAGCATCACATAAATGTCAAAGTCAAATATAAGAGTGATTATGAAGTTCTATTAGTTCCCAGTTTTTATGCTAAGCATTTTTGTGGTCACCTTTGGACGTTCACAGCTCAACTGTTGCCTGGGATTGTATGTGCAAATGGAGCGGTGTAATTGTCTTTCAATAAATATTTAATACCCACATAATTCAATTGCTTATGAAACTAAATGTCCTAGTATGGTTCAACATGAATTGTCATCAATCACAGAAAGATGCATGCTTGCAAACAAACACGTGAAGTTGATGCCTCGCCAATTTCCAGATATTTAAACTACAAAGTCAATACTCTATCTTTTTAGCAGCAAATTGTTTAGTTTCTGACAGCACAAAACTATGAACTTCCAGGGGCAAACAAGGTCGCATACAAGAGGTGCTTGCAAGCACCAATGGTGCTCCCACTAACGAAAAGCCCAAAGGAAAAAAAGTGGGGCAAATAAAGCTGCAGGCTGATTGGCATATTTCAACTTGGAGCCGTGACTTCTTTTCACATTATTATGTGTATGAAAATAATGGTATGTAAAATATCACCATCCCATAGTCTATGGGACAAAAGTATGCATTTCGACTTTTCCTCCCCAATCTGATATTATGGTGCCAGTATAAAATTCCATTATGATCCAATATTGATTAATCACAATAACATAACACGGCAGGCTAAATCTACTCACAAAACTTCTTTCAAGTTTGGCAGTGTCGCAAGATAAGGAGGTAACTGTCCCACAATGTTGCAACTCCTCAGTATCCTGGATAATCGAGTTTACACGAGTCACCAAGAAGGCAATAATATTTCTCAACCGATAGAGCAATGTTAAAGCATTCAACTCACAGTGTCTTGAGATATGTCATATTACTAAGGGTTGGAAAGCTTGATTCAGTTCTAGTTAAGTCACTGATTCTCCTGTATATTTGAACAAGCATAAACCACTATTCAGTCATAGCAAATGGATACAAGCAATAAGCTTAGAAGTTTTTACTCACAAGTCAGTCATTTTTGTCAGAAGCGCAATGCCATGAGGAAATGGCCCATCCAGGCCGCTTGCTTGAATCACTCTACCATTACAAAGTTTTGAGTTTAGTATAATACTGATACAGAACTTATGAAATAGAAGGATAACTGAAATATCAAATGAACGTCAAAGCCTCACAATTTTTCAAGATTTGTCCAATTCTCAATGAAACTGGGTATCGTTCCCGTGAAGCGGTTATCACCAATCCGACTGCATTTGTGGTAATCATGAGTAATTGAATAATTGAAAACTGAATCATAGGAATTAGAACCCCCAAAAAAAGATGACAGAAACTTATGGCACTCACAAGTCCTTCAGTGTGGTCAACTTTGCAAGTGTTCCAGGCAACTCCCCAGAAAAATTGTTTGAAGTTAGATGTCTTCAACAAGAAATTGATCAAAATTAATCCATTGATCAATTGACAATCATCACCAAAAAAAAAAAATGTTTGAAGAACATCTCAACTAAAATAAATTACACATGCAATAAAATCATTATGTTATTCTGTGAATATACAAAATCGGAACTATTGACTCATTTTACAGATAAAAGGGTCTTACAATTTCTCCAGGCGATTAAGATTCCCAAGCTCTGGAGGAATTGCTCCACTCAACTGATTGAATTCGAGGCTTCTATGGACATCAAAAATCAATATTCCAATATTAGCAAGAAAATCATCTGGGCTATTCACAAATTTAAATGGGAACGAAAAAGATAAGTCAGAGTTTTACACAGTTCCAAGTGTGCTTATATTTCCAAACTCCTTTGGGATTGGACCAGTTAATCGATTTCCAAGAAGGGAGCTGCAGTAACACTGTTCCATTAGTGCTAAGAGTAAGAAAACNCACCATTTCAAATTGTAACACAAACTCAACCCTAATTTCGATTTTATTCTTCAAGTTTATTGTAAAATCTATTGACAAAGTTACAGTTGATGTTACTGTGAAAACTTATTGTCTTGTATTTTGAAAAAGTCAATGTGTTACTGAGCACAAACCTTTGATATTACTGGCNCATCCGTGTGTGTGTGTGAGAGAGAGAGAGAGAGAGAGATTGGTACGTACATGTTCACTAGTTTCATGGAACCCCATTCTGGAGGGATAGTACCGTTAAGGTAGTTGCGGGTTAAGTCGCTATATGAACGAGAGAGAGAGAGAGAGAGAGAGAGGGGGAAATTGAGTCACAGCATCAACAGCAAGATCACATAGAGCGGGAGTGAAGCGAAAGCACAAAAGCGTAAGCATTAAAAAAAATAAATCCAGGGCAGGAGCATTTTGAAAGCGTTAAATATACGATATAATATAAATAATTTTGGAAGAAATTTCGATGGCCGTTGAATAAATCTATTTGAGACCGTCAGATAATTTATTGAAATCTGTTATATTTTATACTATAGATATATACTCTCACATTCATCTATTAAATTTTAATATAAAAAAATTAAAATTTTATACACAACTAGGAGACAAGCTATTTAATTTTTAAATATATGTTGATTATAAATTTTTAAAATGGTAATTTTAATTTATAAAAAATTATTTTAGTTTGACATGTATCTTTAGGTCTAAGTCCATACTTTTTAAATAAAAAATCAAGTAATAATAAGTAAGTAAAAATACGAATTACTCGAATTCATGAATTAAAATTTTAAATTTACAAATTTTGTAAAATGAGAACGTAAATTCATGCAAAATTAACTCTTGGAGCGTGAATTTAAGTGAGAACGCCATAAATTCAAAAAGATTATGTCACTAAGGCCAAAAGGTTAAAATAACTAAATCAATAATATGGGGTGATTTAAAATCCTAACAATTTAAAATTTTATCAAATTCCTTAAAATTTCAATAATTTTTAGTGAAAATTGAAGGTGAGTCCCTCTAGATATACTTATAATGACTTAAATTCTGAAAGGAAACTTACTTAAAATAAGTTCATGTTTAAACTTATATGTAGGTACTTAAGTCCACTTATTTTTTAAATCTCAATATTACCCCCTAATGGTGTTATTTTTGTCCAGTTATGGAAAGTCATGCAGATTAGATTATTGAGGTATATATGAAAACCCTTGGTTGAGTTATATATGAAAACCATTTATTAATATTATGATAATTAACAAAAATTTTATATGAAAATTATATATTTTAATAGTTATATATGGAAGTCTGATGCACGAATAAATCGTTGGTCTATTAAGTCAAAATCAGATCATAAAATTTCCTTAAGAATTCAAAATTTCCTTAGTATTAGTGTTACTATAGTGACACGAATGAGATTGTTTTCTTTAAAATACTCAATACCCAAATTGAAAAATTCCACCATTTCAAATTGTAACACAAACTCAACCCTAATTTCGATTTTACTCTTCAAGTTTATTGTGGAATCTATTGACAAAGTTACAGTTGATGTTACTGTGAAAACTTATTGCCTTGTATTTTGAAAAAGTCAATGTGTTACTGAGCACAAACCTTTGATATTACTGGCAAAATTAAATGTGTATGTTATATAATATACGTCTAAAGATTTGTAATTGGTAGTATAAGCGAAAATTGGAGTTGAGTTTGTGTTATTATTTGAAATGATAGAATTCTTCGCTTTGGATATTGAGTATTTTAAAGAAAACAATCTCATTCGTGTCACTATAGTAACACTAATGTGAAAGAAATATTAAATTATTAAGAAAATTTTGTGATATGATTTTGACTTAATAGACCAACGATTTATTTGTACATCAAGCTTTCATATAAAACTATCATAATATATAACTTCCATGTAAAACTTTCGTTAATTATCATAATATTTAATNGTGTGAGAGAGAGAGAGAGAGAGAGATTGGTACGTACATGTTCACTAGTTTCATGGAACCCCATTCTGGAGGGATAGTACCGTTAAGGTAGTTGCGGGTTAAGTCGCTATATGAACGAGAGAGAGAGAGAGAGAGAGAGAGGGGGAAATTGAGTCACAGCATCAACAGCAAGATCACATAGAGCGGGAGTGAAGCGAAAGCACAAAAGCGTAAGCATTAAAAAAAATAAATCCAGGGCAGGAGCATTTTGAAAGCGTTAAATATACGATATAATATAAATAATTTTGGAAGAAATTTCGATGGCCGTTGAATAAATCTATTTGAGACCGTCAGATAATTTATTGAAATCTGTTATATTTTATACTATAGATATATACTCTCACATTCATCTATTAAATTTTAATATAAAAAAATTAAAATTTTATACACAACTAGGAGACAAGCTATTTAATTTTTAAATATATGTTGATTATAAATTTTTAAAATGGTAATTTTAATTTATAAAAAATTATTTTAGTTTGACATGTATCTTTAGGTCTAAGTCCATACTTTTTAAATAAAAAATCAAGTAATAATAAGTAAGTAAAAATACGAATTACTCGAATTCGTGAATTAAAATTTTAAATTTACAAATTTTGTAAAATGAGAACGTAAATTCATGCAAAATTAACTCTTGGAGCGTGAATTTAAGTGAGAACGCCATAAATTCAAAAAGATTATGTCACTAAGGCCAAAAGGTTAAAATAACTAAATCAATAATATGGGGTGATTTAAAATCCTAACAATTTAAAATTTTATCAAATTCCTTAAAATTTCAATAATTTTTAGTGAAAATTGAAGGTGAGTCCCTCTAGATATACTTATAATGACTTAAATTCTGAAAGGAAACTTACTTAAAATAAGTTCATGTTTAAACTTATATGTAGGTACTTAAGTCCACTTATTTTTTAAATCTCAATATTACCCCCTAATGGTGTTATTTTTGTCCAGTTATGGAAAGTCATGCAGATTAGATTATTGAGGTATATATGAAAACCCTTGGTTGAGTTATATATGAAAACCATTTATTAATATTATGATAATTAACAAAAATTTTATATGAAAATTATATATTTTAATAGTTATATATGGAAGTCTGATGCACGAATAAATCGTTGGTCTATTAAGTCAAAATCAGATCATAAAATTTCCTTAAGAATTCAAAATTTCCTTAGTATTAGTGTTACTATAGTGACACGAATGAGATTGTTTTCTTTAAAATACTCAATACCCAAATTGAAAAATTCCACCATTTCAAATTGTAACACAAACTCAACCCTAATTTCGATTTTACTCTTCAAGTTTATTGTGGAATCTATTGACAAAGTTACAGTTGATGTTACTGTGAAAACTTATTGCCTTGTATTTTGAAAAAGTCAATGTGTTACTGAGCACAAACCTTTGATATTACTGGCAAAATTAAATGTGTATGTTATATAATATACGTCTAAAGATTTGTAATTGGTAGTATAAGCAAAAATTGGAGTTGGGTTTGTGTTATTATTTGAAATGATAGAATTCTTCGCTTTGGGTATTGAGTATTTTAAAGAAAACAATCTCATTCGTNCGAAAATTGGAGTTGAGTTTGTGTTATTATTTGAAATGATAGAATTCTTCGCTTTGGATATTGAGTATTTTAAAGAAAACAATCTCATTCGTGTCACTATAGTAACACTAATGTGAAAGAAATATTAAATTATTAAGAAAATTTTGTGATATGATTTTGACTTAATAGACCAACGATTTATTTGTACATCAAGCTTTCATATAAAACTATCAGAATATATAACCTCCATATAAAACTTTCGTTAATTATCATAATATTTAATAAACAATTTTCATATATAACTCAATCAAAGGTTTCTATATACACACCTAAATGATCTAACTTATGTGAAGGAGACGGTAAGTCAGACATCGATTATTGCTTTTCTAAAGGGTAGTGGTACAATAGTAAACTTGACAAAAAAGTGGACTTAAAACCAAATAAGTTTCCTTACCGGACTTATCTCCAAATAAGTCCATATAGAAGACCGACCTCTAAATTTTCCTAATTTCTATAGTCGATCATCAATATTGGGCCACAATATGAAATTTTTATGGGACTCGTCTTATATTACCGGAACTTATAAATTTAACTACGAATTCGATGGAAACTAACAAAATTGAATTAAAAGATCCGAATAACATATGGGCAAAAACATGGGAAGGANCGGTAAGTCAGACATCGATTATTGCTTTTCTAAAGGGTAGTGGTACAATAGTAAACTTCACAAAAAAGTGGACTTAAAACCAAATAAGTTTCCTTACCGGACTTATCTCCAAATAAGTCCATATAGAAGGACCGGCCTCTAAATTTCCCTAATTTCTATAGTCGATCATCAATATTGGGCCAAAATATGAAATTTTTACGGGACTCGTCTTATATTACCGGAACTTATAAATTTAACTACGAATTCGATGGAAGCTAACAAAATTGAATTAAAAGATCCGAATAACATATGGGCAAAAACATGGGAAGGACAAAACAGTTTTGAAGCAGAAGTACTCACATTTCTTGAAGATATTGCAATTTAACCAGTTCTGGAGGACATGTGCCTGGAAGACTTTGTGACTTGAGAACACTGCATTTTAAAGGAGAGTGAGTGAGTTTTTAGACGTGATAGGGAAAACCACTTCTCACCCCCCAACTTACCCACAATCAACAAAAAACAAATAACTTTAACATTACTCTCGACCCCCAAGGAACACTGAAAGATTTCCGAAGGGGGAGGGTGACTCTGTCAGCTTTGATTTACTTTTGGGGATTGCTAACGGAGAATGTTTTTATGGATCGGATAATCGATTTGCCTTAATTTAGTTGGTAACCTTTAATTCTCTCAACTATGGATCAATGAATCATCCTTGCCTTTGATCTAGTTGATTTCATCTGCTATTCGTTGTATCATTTGTTTGATAATTGCATGAAGGATGGACCTGTGTACATAACAAATGATGATGCATCTGGGATGGGCGTGGACGATTGTCTCCTAAGATTCATCAAATCCTTCTAAATATGGTACCACTATCTGTACCTTGTAATCTTTAAAGACCAAAATTAATAATGAGTTAATTATATTTTATCACTTTGAACTATTATTCTTATTTTATATTGTACTCTCAGTTATAAAATTTCTCATATTGTACCATAAAATATCAATTTCTCATATTATACTCTAAAGTATCAATTTCTCATATTATGCCATAAAGTATCAATTTCTCATATTGTACCCTAAATTATCTTACTGATCG